CCCCTCGCCCACAAAACCTCCCTTACCCCTTCCTTCCAACCTTTTCGAGGACGACCCCTACCCTGCCTTCCTTTCCCGACAGATTTATACACCCTCCATGTCATTCTACTTTGATCCATTCTCTCTAAATGACCAAACCACCTCAACAACCCCTCTTCAGCCCTCTGAATACTTTTATTAACTCCACACCTTCTCCTAATTTCCACACTCCGAATTTTCTACATAATATTTACACCACACATTGCCCTTAGACAGAACATCTCCACTGCCTCCAATTGCCTCCTCGCTGCTGCATTCACAACCCAAGCTTCACACCCATATAAGAGTGTTGGTACTACTATACTTTCATACATTCCCTTCTTTGCCTCCATAGATAATGTTTTTTGCCTCCACATATACCTCAATGCAACACTCACGTTTTTTCCTTCATCAATTCTATGATTAACCTCATCCTTCATAAATCCATCTGCCAACAAGTCAACTCCCAAGTATCTGAAAACATTCACTTCTTCCATACTCCTCCTCCCCAATTTGATATCCAATTTTTCTTCATCTAAATCATTTGATACCCTCATCACCTTACTCTTTTCTATGTTTACTTTCAACTTTCTACCTTTACACACACTCCCAAACTCATCCATTAACCTTTTCAATTTTTCTTCAGAATCTCCCATAAGCACAGTATCATCAGCAAAAAGCAACTGTGTCAATTCCCATTTTGTATTTGATTCCCCATAATTTAATCCCACCCCTCTCCCGAACACCCTAGCATTTACTTCTTTTACAACCCCATCTATATATATATTAAACAACCATGGTGACATTACACATCCCTGTCTAAGACCTACTTTTACCGGGAAGTAGTCTCCCTCTCTTCTACACACCCTAACCTGAGCCTCACTATCCTCATAAAAACTCTTTACAGCATTTAGTAACTTACCACCTATTCCATATAGTACTTGCAACATCTGCCACATTGCTCCCCTATCCACTCTATCATATGCGTTTTCTAAATCCATAAACGCAATAAAAACTTCCCTACCTTTATCTAAATACTATTCACATACATGCTTCAATGTAAACACTTGATCTACACACCCCCTACCCATTCTGAAACCTCCTTGCTCATCCGCAATCCTACATTCTGTCTTATCTTTAATTCTTTCAATTATAACCCTACCATACACTTTTCCTGGTATACTCAGTATAATCATCAAAAGTGAATATTTTTCATCCACTCAAGATACAGACTTGTCTGTCATAAAAATTTTAGTAGAAATGATGGTCCTACCTGATCAGAAGTTGGACAGCCCTGCCATAGTAAACTGGTATTAGCAGAAGAGATGGTAAGTCATAAGGGTCATTTAGCACTGCTTGACAAGGCTGAATGAGATCATACAGTGAGAGAGGTGGAGTTAAATGAGATACAAAAGTGGAATTAGGACATTTATTTAGGTGATAGACTAATGGAGAGGAGAGAGAGGTGGCAAGGCCCATGTTAAAAGAACATGATGGGAAGGGATGATTTTATTTGCTTTACTGGCCCCACCTTTGACACATGCACTCTCTCTCTCTTTGATTTTTTTTGTCAGCAACAGATATACTACACCAACTCTGATTATATTTCCTTTAGCACTCCTCACTGCCCTAACTCTACCTCTGTTATACTCTTCACCCTCGCTGAGCTCTGATCAGGCATATTACACCTTTTGGCACACCCTACCCTGCAGTGTTGTGTGACCCTTATGGGTTTAGCACTTGGTTATGATTATAATAATATTCACTTTACTAACACCCTTAATAATTCTATAAGTTGTTGGATGATGTTAAAACCCAGCATACAGGCCATGTGAATTGTAATGCCCATAACTGTTGGGAAACACAACTGCAGAAAGAGTGATGGTGACTTTCTGTCTTTGGGTAAACTACTTTTTATGAGAAATGATGGATGTGCTAAGAAAAGCTATCTTAATCTATATTTCCTGTGAGTTACATCAAGTCTGTAGCCAGCTAAATGGCCAGCATGTAATCAGAGATGCTGCTACTTGTCAGTCAACCGAAGTGTACCAGTGGCCTGACTGTTACTGTGAAATATGCAGTAGATGTTTAAGCAAATACATATTTGTTATGGGGAATGGCAGGATAGCTACAATTCTTGGATCAAAAGCCCTTCACCAGCATCAAGATACCCCTTCTCCTGTATAAATTACTAAATTTAAAAAGAAACTTTTGTTTTTCTTTTTGGGCCACCCTGCCTCGGTGGGATACGGCTGGTTTGTTGAAAGAAGAAAGAAATACGTACAGTGATGACACTGGGTTATGAATGAATACGAAGTGATTTAGTGAACAAAACACCTATGAAAAGATGACTATAATTGTCTAAGAAAATAACAAGTATAAAAGTGAGCCCGTATTGAAAAAGTGAGCCGTGCATTCTCTAGCCTAGAAAAACACAGGTGCATAATACTCATAAAAATTTAGTGAAATACATAAATTTTTGTTGACCTAATAATAAAATGCGAACGTCTTGATTCCTAGGTAGTAGGTTGGTAGACAGCAACTGCCCAGGGAGTTGCTACCATCCTGCCAAGTGAGTGTAAAATGGAAGCCTGTAATTATTTTATATAATGTTAAGATCGCTGGTTCTAGGTAGTATGTTGGTAGACAGCAACCACCCAGGGAGGTACTACCGTCCTGCCAAGTGAGTGTAAAACGAAAGCCTGTAATTGTTTTACATGATGGTAGGATTGCTGGTGTCCTTTTTCTGTCTCATAAACATGCAAGATTTCAGGTACGTCTTGCTACTTCTACTTACACTTAGGTCACACTACATATACATGTACAAGCACATATATACACACCCCTCTGGGTTTTCTGGTATTTTCTTTCTAGTTCTTGTTCTTGTTTATTTCCTCTTATCTCCATGGGGAAGTGGAACAGAATTCTTCCTCCGAAAGCCATGCGTGTTGTAAGAAGCGACTAAAATGCCGGGAGCAAGGGGCTAGTAACCCCTTCTCCTGTATAAATTACTAAATTTGAAAAGAGAAACTTTTGTTTTTCTTTTTGGGCCACCCTGCCTCGGTGGGATATGGCTGGTTTGTTGAAAGAAGAAGAAGATTGCTGGTGTCTTTTTTCTGTCTCAAACATGCAAGATTTCAGGTACGTCTTGCTACTTCTACTTACACTTAGGTCACACTACACATACATGTACAAGTATATATCTACACACCCCTCTGGGTTTTCTTCTATTTTCTTTCTAGTTCGTATTCTTGTTTATTTCCTCTTATCTCCATGGGAAAGTGGAACAGAATTCATCCTCCGTAAGCCATGCGTGTTGTAAGAGGCAACTAAAACGCCAGGAGCAAGGGGCTAGTAACCCCTTCTCCTGTATAAAGTACTAAATTTAAAAAGAGAAACTTTTGTTTTTCTTTTTGGGCCACCCTGCCTCGGTGGGATACAGCCGATTTGTCGAGAAAAAAAAAATGCAAGATTTCAGGTACGTCTTGCTACTTCTACTTACACTTAGGCCACACTACACATGCATGTACAAGCATATATATACACACACCCCTCTGGGTTTTCTTTTCTTATCAGTTCTTGCTCTTGTTTATTTCCTCTTATCTCCATGGGGAAGTGGAACAGAATTCTTCCTCCGTAAGCCATGCATGTTGTAAGAGGCAACTAACATGCCAGGAGCAATGGACTGGTAACCCCTTCTGTATACATTACTAAAGTTAAAAAAAGAAATTTGTTTTTCTTTCTGGGGCCACCCTGGCCTTGGTGGGATATGGCCAGTTTGTTGAAAGAAGATGTACATGATCAGTGTTGTTCACAAAATGTACTAAAGATCCTTAATTTTTACTTTTTGCCACAATAGCCATCTCCTACAGAGGCAGGGTGTCCCAAAGAAAAAACATTCACCATCATTCATCCACTCACTGTCTTGCAAGAAATGTGCTGACAACATAATTCAAACTACTTTCCAACTGAAACATTTCCCACACCCTACTCCAGAGTGCAAGTACTGCCATTCCACCTCAAGACTTAAGTCTGATTAAGCAGTTTCCCTCTATAAAAGCTACCTTGCTCACACTCCTGTGGTGCATCCACTAAAAAACCACTTATTTCTATTCACCTCTAACATACTCACATAAGCCTGCTGGATGATAAAGCCCCTAAAACTCAAAGCTTCTTTTACCCCCTCCTTCCAACCATTCATAGGAAGGCCCTCCTCCCCTCATACCTTCCACCCTACATTTACACACCTTCTTTGTCATCCCCTCTACTCACCCAAACCACCTTAACAATCCCTAATTTCTAATTTCTATTTTTTACACTCTGAATTCTCTGCACAATACTCTCATCCCACGTCACTCTCAATCATGGCATCTTCAGTGCTTCTAGCCGCCTTGCTGCAACATTCAAAACCCATGTCCCACACCAATTTAAAAGTGTTGGTATCACTATACTCTGGTACATTCCCTTCGTTTTTTCCACAGATAAACTTCTTTTCAACATAAATTCACTCCCTGCCCCCCTCCTCTATTCTACAGTTCACCTCATCTTACACAGACCCATCTGCTGACATGTCTGCTCCCAAATATCTAAATATATCCACTTCCTCCATACTGTCTCCAATCTGATATTCAATCTATCACTGCCTAGACTTTTTGTGTTATCCTTCCAAATTCATCCACCAACCTTTGCAACTTGTCTTCAGAATCCCCCAAAAGAACTGTGTTGTCAGCAAAGAGCAACTGTGATAATTCTCACTTTGTATCAGATCCATATTTTATTCCCATCTCTTCCCAACACCCTAGCTTTCACTACTTTTACAACCCTAACATGAAATGATGACAATCTAATTGAGCTCAGTACAGCTGTCATTTGCCTGGAACACATAAACTGCATGAAGCAAGGAGCACCTGTACTGCAAAATATTTGAATAATGAATGAAGAACAATTAATATGTAATAGGTAAAAGAAGAAATTATCCTCACCTGAATTACTGTTGCTATCAGAAGAACTTTCAGCTGCAAAAAGAAAAAAAAAAGATATATGGAACATGAATAAAAAAAAAGGCATGACAAGACACTGACAAGTCACATGTGGTTCACAAAATTCATACAACATGTTAAAATAGATGCCCTGGAAACTCAACAACAGCAACATAATACCGGTATACTGTAATTCTTACTATCCTCGTCTTACAAGTTATTTGAGATATATAGAATACTTCTTGTTAAAACCAGTTTCCTGCACTCAAAAGTTATATTTACTTAGACAAAATAAATCACAATTTCATTTCTGCAGTTATATAGAACAGGTGTCAGGTTATAAAAAAAATTTTATGAAGAAAGTGAGGCTCAGGTCTGGATATGTAGGAGAGAAGGGGAGTATTTTCAAGTAAAATAGACCTTGGATAAGGATGTGTGATGTCACTTTGTTTATTTTAATGTAAAAATTAGCGAATTCCTGCTGAGATGAGATATGGGTTTAAAAGTAATATATGTAATGGGAGTTATCACAACTGTTTCTGGCTGATCATAGTACTTTTCAGAGAAATCTCATGAAAGGTTGGTGGAGTTTGGGTGAATAAAGAAAAGAACAAGAAAAAACAAAAGTATGTCTAAGTAATGGAAAATTGGGTATCAGATTGGAGGGAGAAAGTTGCAGAGTAGATGAGTAGATGGGTCTAAGAAAATATGGTGAAATATGGAATAAGCAAGGAAAAAGGATGCAAAAAAAAAAAGATTATATATCAGAGTACAATGGTGCCAACACTTTATATGGTGTGAGGTATACTGTTTGAACACTGAAGGGAGGAGGAGGCTGTAAGCAGTGGAAATGTCATGTCTGAGAACTGTATATGGTACGAACATTATGCATAGAAAAAGGAATAAGTTATAATTCTCAGAGAATGAACTAGACCAGGCTTTTCTGGTGACCACCTGATCTATCAGGCTATACAAAAACATATACTTTCTTATCACACTCCTTTAGCATCTCTTCACCCAGTAACTGAAAATACTCTACTCTTGAAAGTACGTCATACTTTTCTCCCTAAACAATTTTCCTAATAAATTTCTATCATAATAGAGTTTGATCAGGAAAAAACATCCTGAAATATAAACTTACTGCTTGAGGGATTGTAGAAAAGACCAGTTGCAGGATCCAGTTCACCTACAGGAGCGAGAGATCCATCATCCATATGGCCACCGGGAAGCTGACTGGCTAATCCCGCCATCAGACTGGCCATTGATGCTGCCTCCTGCAAGCACATCATTTTTACCACTAACTGTAATTTTGCCTAACATCCTTAATTAGTGATCTTGTGGTAAAAATATTTCATTGCATCTATATATTATTGCTTGTATACAAATAAAGAACCAAAGGGCCACCATTAAAACTACTGGTCTCCATTCACCATTCTAATATGCCTGCTCATCCAATACTGAGGAGTCAGAAAGATATATCCCACAACAAACAATACAACTTCTCCAAAGCATCTACAGTATTACAATACACAATCATGGAATAATGTTATTACACACTGAAGAAAGAGTGTCATAAAATGGCTTGATTTTAAAGAGAAGTTTCTTGATTAAGAGAACACAGAAGTTGATAAACTGATAAGCCTAAAGAATATTTAAAATGATTCCTTAAACTATTAAGTGACACATTCAGAAATGGGTTGACTGTGACTAAGATGTTCTACTTAATCAATCAGTCACATGTAGACATCAATGATGCAGTTCTGAGCTCACACTTGACAACAACGGTGATGGTATATCAAGAAAATTCCAATTCCTGGAATCAAGAGGCTTTTACCGGTGTCAAAGCTCCCAAATTGAAGGTTTAAGCTACTGAGTTTTCCCTTACTATCAGCAATGCCTTGTATGTAAATACAGTATTGCAAAAAATCTATTACAACATTTTGAAAAACCCATTTTTATTTTTCGCTGTACATAATGTTGTGCATAATACAAGCTTTTTTGTGTGAAAGCACCCAAAATTAGTAGTTTTTAAGAATATATTTCAGATCCAAAGCAACCTGAAATACATATCCAATTTTCTAAAGTGATTCATTAATGCTAGTGCCTGAGCTTGCAAAAAAATCACAGATTATTACAATGCTGCTAATAAATTTGAAAATCTATAACTTAAGCACTCAGCCACATGAAATTCCAGGAAATACGAGGAATTTTTCAGAATATTTTAACGCTTTCACTGTTGGTGTCGTATTAGTACGGCTTACAAGCCAGTGTTGGTGCCGTATTAATACTCCAAATTTCTAGCAGTTTCAAATCTAGCAGGAGACAGTGTCGGTAAACGAGTATGTTGCTAAGTGAGGAGAGGCTGTATATCGCCGAGACAGATAACTTCACGAGAGTGTAATTCCGTAAGTTTTCAATCAAATGTTGTACTTTTGGCATCATTACCATTGGAAACAGATTCCATATCATTTCATAAGAAAAAATAATTTTTATTTTTTTTTAAATTCTTTGACACTGAGAGCAAGTTTGTGAGCAAGGGTCTCGACAGTGAAAGGGCTAACTCTTTGACTGTTTTTGTCGTAAATATACATCTTACGAGCCAGTGTTTTTGACGTATTAATACGCCAAAACTCTAGCAGCTTCAAATCAAGTGGGAGAAAGCTGGTAGGCCCACATGTGAAAGAATGGGTCTGTGTAGTCAGTGTGCACAGCATAAAAAAAATCCTGCAGCACACAATGCATGAGAAAAAAAAACTCCGACCGTGTTTTTGGATTTAAATGCAGACCTTAAGGTGTATTTTTGTATAGTATATATGATTGTAGTCTCGTTTTCTTGGTCTCATTTGATAGAATGGAAGACATATTACAGAAATAGAGATGATTTTGATTAGTTTCATGATGAAAAGGACATTGAAATTGAGCTCAAAGTAGCAGAAATGTTCGATTTTTGCTGATGTTCAAAAGTAAACAAATGACGTCACCATCCAATATGTGTCCAACTGGCCAGTCTGATATGCAATTACGAATGGGCTGACATTATTTATACAACTATTACAATAATGCAGTATTCTGCATAATGGTAAATCTTTCTATTTTTTTTGTGAGAGTAAAAATGCAAAATAGAAAACAAGAGTAATATAAGAGGGGCCTGGAGATATGACTAATGAACAGAGAAAATGTTATTTTAGTGCCAGGAATGTCTGCATTGTTTAATATGGACCCATTCTGAAACTGGCATCTTTTTTAATTTGCGTGAAATTGGCCGAATTGCCAATTTCTGACCAGTTTATTGGGTAGTTGAAATTGGTAAATGGGCTATTTCTTGTATTCAATCGACAGAACAAATGAAGTTCTAAAGAAATAGCTATGAGTTTGATCGACTGGAACAATGGAATTGGCCAAAAAATAGGGCGCAAAGTGGGCCAAAATGCTGATGCGTATATATTGCCATGATCGCTAACTTCGCAAGAGCGTAATTCCATAATTTTTCCATCAAATTTTGTACTTTTGGTGTCATTACCATCATGAAAAGATTCTCTATCATTTCACAAGAATTTTTTCTTTTTTTTCAAATATTTTGCGACAGTAAGACACTTCAGGATTTGGAGTCTCGACAGTCAAAGGGTTAAAGAGGAATGGGAATGTTGCAGATCAAGGTGTCATTTGAACTGTGATGTCTGCACACTTCTGGCAAGATAACTATTGAATGAATGATGGTGAATGAATTACATTTTATGGATCAACTTGCCTTAGTGGAAGATGACCATATGATTATGAAGCATTTTTAAGAACTTGATTTTGCAAGATAACAAATGTTATACCCTTAAATACCAGCAACTAGGAACTTCCTTACCCCTCCATGTTCGCCAATGTCACCTGGAGAATCTAATAATTCTATCCCAGCCTGGCGAAGAAGATTTCTAGCAGATTCTTTGTCTCCACGGCCTAAAATTTCCACTGCCTCCTCTGAAAAGGTTTTAGTAATATCAGGAAAGAGTTATATAACAAATTCATGGCAGAATAATCAGTCTTGATCAAGGTTTCTTTCATCCTAAAGATAAATTACTTCATAAAAATTCCTGGACACTCATCTAGACGTGTGTTTCTTTGGACAACTTAACCCTTAAACTGTCCAAACGTAGATCTATGTTCACATGCATAACACTCTGAACGTAGATCTACGTTTTTTTTTTTTACATGAGAAAGCATGTAAAATAGAAAGTTCGGAGCGCTACGCACGTGAACGCAGACCTACGTTTGGACAGTTTAAGGGTTAATAAACTTCAAAATTCACAAACTTGCCTTGCCTTTTACTCATACATTTGTCTTTTTCTGACCACTTCTAGCAATAATATAAAGTATTTCAGAAATTGCAAATCCTCCTCAAACTACAGGAGTCAAATTTAAATTTCAAAATTCAAATGTTTCATTTGTAAAAAAAATTACACATTTCGATACAGGATGGTACAATATAGTATGCATAATGCAGATACCATAAAAAACTTTACAAAGCACATTCTACACTTACCAAAACATTCTTTACTTGTATATGCTTTAATTTCACTTGTGTTTGTTCTTCTCATTCCCCGCAACCCATATAACTTTTCTTATTTCCAATTAATGACTTGGTATTGCCCAACACTAAGAATTTTCTTCCTTTACACAAGTTTCTTTAACAATGTGTATTGCACTCCCAAATTTTCTCATCCCCTATTTTTTATTCTCCATATTTAAGGAGCTTTATACACAAAAGTCCCCTCTTTAGTTACCCTTTGTATGGACCCATATCAAATCCTACAAAATAGTAACAATTATTTTGGCATAATCTGTATTCATTAAAAGAAGATGCCAATTTTTTTTTTTTTCCCAACAAGTTGGCCGTCTCCCACCGAGGCAGGGTGACCCAAAAAAGAAAGAAAATCTCCAAAAAGAAAATGCTTTCATCATCATTCAACACTTTCACCACACTCACACATAATCACTGTTTTTGCAGAGGTTCTCAGAATACAACAGTTTAGAAGCATATACGTATAAAGATACACAACACATCTAAAACATTTAGAGCACCTTTACATCTTTAGTGTTCTAAACTAAATTCCCCAGAGTTCCTTACAGTGCCCTGTGGCCTACTGGCAAAGGCTCTCGCTTCACATGGTGAGGGGTCTGGGTTCAATTCCCGGCAAAGGGGTAGAAACAATGGGCAGGTTTCCTTTCATCGGTTGTCCACGTTCACCCATCAGTAAAATGGGTACCTGAGTGTTAGTTGACTGGTGTGGGTTGCATCCTGGGACAAAACTGACCTAATTTGCCCAAAATGCTCTGCATAACAACCAGCTTTCTATGTAGTAGTATGTCATTAATGTCAGCTAGGCCTGTATACCTTGTACATGTACTTGTAGAAATAAAGATATTATTATTATTATTATTATAAAAATTTTAATTCTCTATTCTCCACCACTATTCTTCAGTGTGTAATCATTTCAGTGGCAAGATACAGAAATTATATTTTATTAAATTTATCGATGAACAGAACCCATTACCTCATTACCTCCTAAACTAAGATGCTGCATGAGCCCCTATGGGTTTAGTGCTTCCCATGAATATAATAATAATCCAAAAATATGAAATAAACTAGCCCAGTGAAATACGAGTACATATCGATTTCTTATGAGCAAGCAAGACAGCAAAAATCATGACAACACCCGGTCAAATGATTCACAAACCAGAAAATTGGTTACAGAACTGTCCATCATTATTACAATCACAGCAAAACAATGTGACCACTATCCACCCCAATCACCATTACCAGCCACCTGTTTATCTCCTACTAGCCCATTGAATCGAGAGTTTACTAATTATAATATACCTACACAAGTGTATTCACCCTTACCTAGCATTTGCATTTGTCCCTCAGGTAAGCTGTGGCCAGGAGAGTCTTCGCCTTCTAGCCCTAAATTGAGCCATTCTCCTTCACCATCTACAGCACAGCCACTACTGCTGCCTCCACTGCCTCCTGTACTAGCACTACCCTCACTACTATTACCACCACTACTGTTGCCACCACTACTGTTGGTGGTAGGAATGGTAACAGTGGTAGAGGACGTAGTCGTGTTAGTCATTATATTTGCCAGTGTGGTGGTAGACGTATTGGCGGCAGTGGTGGTTGTACTGGCTGTTGTAGATATACTGCTTGTGCAGGTGCCACTGTTTGTTGCTGATAATGATGACTCCCCTGGAATAAATTACCTTTACAAAAAACATGAAAGGCAGTGGTAAACATGTCATTATGACTGGATGAAACCTTGAAAATGAACACTCCTCTCAAAAACTAACATATAAAGATGCAAGGCTTCCTGTGAACCTTAGATAAGCCTTACTTAGTACATTTCAATCTCGTAGACAGGTGCCCACAACACTTTAAAGTGGCGTGATGAATATCTGCCTTAAAGCTAATTATCGTATTTAGCAATGGATGCGTTTTCAAACGAGAGGGCTTTTGAAATCACTTATATGAAATGTTCTTCTCATTTCATGAGCCAAAATTTTTTTATGCACTCCCTAATTTGGTGTTTCAACTTAACTTCTGATCTCCTTTGCTTACCCTATACTTAGCCAATAATATAAATATTACTACATCTTTAAAGTGTCTGTTCCATCTCCCACCAATGTCTGACTTGAAAAAAAAAAAAAAAAAAAAATCCATCAATCATTCAATTACGTCTTGAAGAAATGTGCAAACATTACAATTCAGATGAACCTCCAAACAGCAACATCCTCACCCTTCCTCTAGAGTGGGGCATTATACTTCTCATCTCTGGGATTCAAGTCCAAGACATGAAATATCCTCAAGTCCCTCCATAAACATTACCCTACTCACACTTCAACAGCCAATCAAACACTAAAAACCATTCATTCTGATCACATATGCTCACTTTCACACTCACACACTCACACTCTCACTCACACACTCTCTCTCTCCACACACACACACACACACACACACACACACACACACTCACACTCACACACACACACACACACACACACACACACACACACACACACACTCACACTCACACTCACACACACACACACACACACACACACACACACACACACACACACACACACACAATTCGAGAAAATGGAAGGAATAGATGAGATGGGAGAAAGAGACTATATAGCAGGTACACTTCAGTCTGGGGAACACAAAGTGGTCATTGCAGTGATGTATAATCCACCACAGAACTGCAGGAGGCCAAGAGAGGAATATGAAGAGAACAACAGAGCAATGGTGGACACACTTGCTGAGGTGGCAAGAAGAGCTCACTCCAGCAGAGCAAAGTTGCTGGTTATGGGGGATTTCAACCACAGGGAGATTGACTGGGAAAACCTGGAGCCACATGGGGGTCCCGAAACATGGAGAGCCAGGATGTTGGATGTGGTGCTGGAAAACCTCATGCACCAACATGTTAAGGACACTACCAGAGTGAGAGGGGAGGATGAACCAGCAAGATTGGACCTTGTGTTCACCCTGGGCAGCTCAGATATTGAGGACATCAAGTATGAGAGTCCCCTAGGAGCTAGCGACCACGTGGTTCTGTGCTTTGAATACATAGTAGAGCTGCAAGTGGAGAGAATAACAGGAGTTGAATGGGAAAAGCCTGACTATAAAAGAGGGGACTACATAGGGTTGAAGAACTTCCTGCGGGAGGTCCAGTGGGACAGAGAACTGGCCAGTAAATGAAATGATGGAATATGTAACAACAAAATGCAAGGAGGCAGTGGAAAGGTTTATTCCCAAGGGCAACAGTAACAACGGAAAGACCAGAACGAGCCCCTGGTTTACCCGACGGTGTAAGGAGGCAAAAACAAAATGCAATAGAGAATGGAAGAAGTACAGAAGGCAGAGAACACACGAAAACAGGGAGATCAGTCGCAGAGCCAGGAATGAGTACGCACAGGTAAGGAGGGAGGCCCAGCGACAGTATGAAAATGACATAGCATCGAGAATCAAGACTGACCCGAAACTGTTGTATAGCCACATCAGGAGGAAGACAACAGTCAAAGACCAGGTGATCAGATGAAGGACAGAAGGTGGAGAACTCACAAGAAATGATCAGGAGGTATGTGAGGAGCTGAACAGGAGATTTAAGGAAGTTTTTACAGTAGAGACAGGAAGGGCTGTGGGAAGACAGCACAGAAGGGAACATCAAGAGGGAATATACCAACAAGTGTTGGATGACATACGAACAACTGAGGAGGAGGTGAAGAAGCTCTTAAGTGACCTTGACACCTCAAAGGCGATGGGACCGAACAACATCTCCCCATGGGTCCTTAGAGAAGGAGCAGAGATGCTGTGCGTGCCTCTAACCACAATCTTCAACACATCCCTTGAAACTGGGCAACTACCTGAGAAATGGAAGACAGCTAATGTAGTCCCCATATTTAAGAAAGGAAACAGAAACGAGGCACTAAACTACAGACCTATGTCTCTGACATGTATTGTGTGCAAAGTCATGGAGAAGATTATCAGGAGGAGAGTGGTCGAACACCTGGAAAGGAACAAGATTATAAATGAAAACCAGCATGGGTTCATGGAAGGCAAATCTTGTATCACAAACCTCCTGGAGTTTTATGACAAGGTAACAGAAGTAAGACACGAGAGAGAGGGGTGGGTAGATTGCGTTTTCCTAGACTGCAGGAAGGCCTTTGACACAGTTCCCCACAAGAGATTAGTGCAGAAGCAGGAGGATCAGGCGCACGTAAAAGGGAGGGCACTGCAATGGATAAGGGAATACCTGACAGGGAGGCAGCAACGAGTCATGGTACGTGAAGAGATATCACAGTGGGCGCCTGTTACGAGCGGGGTCCCACAGGGGTCAGTTCTAGGACCAGTGCTATTTTTGATATATGTGAACGACATGATGGAAGGAATAGACTCTGAAGTGTCCCTGTTCGCAGATGACATGAAGTTGATGAGAAGAATTAAATCGGACGAGGATGAGGCAGGACTGCAAAGAGACCTGGACAGGCTGGACATGTGGTCCAGCAACTGGCTTCTCGAATTCAATCCAGCCAAATGCAAAGTCATGAAGATTGGGGAGGGGCAAAGAAGACCGCAGACAGAGTATAGGCTAGGTGGACAAAGACTACAGACCTCACTCAGGGAGAAAGACCTTGGGGTGACCATAACACCGAGCACATCACCGGAGGCACACATCAACCAAATAACCGCTGCAGCATACGGGCGCCTGGCAAACCTGAGAATAGCGCTCCGATACCTTAATAAGGAATCGTTCAAGACACTGTACACTGTGTATGTTAGGCCCATACTGGAGTATGCAGCACCAGTCTGGAAACCACACCTGGTCAAGCACGTCAAGAAGTTAGAGAAAGTACAAAGGTTTGCAACAAGGCTAGTCCCAGAGCTCAAGGGAATGTCGTACGAGGAAAGGTTAAGGGAAATCGGACTGACGACACTGGAGGACAGAAGGGTCAGGGGAGACGTGATAACGACATACAAGATACTGCGGGGAATAGACAAGGTGGACAGAGATAGGATGTTCCAGAGAGGGGACACAGGGACAAAGGGTCACAACTGGAAGCTGAAGACTCAGACGAGTTACAGGGACGTTAGGAAGTATTTCTTCAGTCATAGAGTTGTCAGCAAGTGGAATAGCCTAGCAAGTGAAGTAGTGGAGGCAGGAACCATACATAGTTTTAAGAAGAGGTATGACAAAGCTCAGGAAGCAGAGAGAGAGAGGATCCAGTAGCGATCAGTGAAGAGTCTCGACCCCTGCAACCACAATTAGGCGAGTACAATTAGGTGAGTACACACACACGAGGAGCTCAACAGGAGATTTAAGGAAGTATTCACAGTGGAGACAGGAAGGACTCTGGGAAGACAGGACAGAGGGGGGACACCAACAGGGAATAGACCAACAGGTGCTGGATGATATGCACACAACTGAGGAGGAGGTGAAGAAGCTGCTAAGTGACCTTGATACATCAAAAGCAATGGGACCGGACAGCATCTCCCCATGGGTCCTCAGGGAGGGAGCAGATATACTGTGTGCCATTAACCACAATCTTCAACACATCCCTTGAAACTGGGAAACTACCTGAGGTATGGAAGGCCGCAAATGTAGTTCCCGTTTTTAAAAAAGGAGACAGAAAAGAGGCACTAAATTACAGACTAGTGTCACTGACCTGTATAGTATACAAAGCCAAGGAGAAGATTATCAGGAGGAGAGTGGTGGAGCACCTGGAACGGAGCAAGATTATAAACGATAACCAGCATGGATTAATGGAAGGCAAATCCTGTGTCACAAACCTCCTGGAGTTTTATGACAAAGTTACAGAAGTGCAACACGAGAGAGAGGGGTGGGTTGATTGCATTTTCTTGGACTGCAAGAAGGCCTTCGACACAGTTCCTCACAAGAGACTAGTGCAGAAACTAGAGGATCAGGCACGTATAACAGGAAGGGCACTGCAATGGACCAGAGAATACCTGACAGGGAGGCAACAACGAGTCATGGTACGGGATGAGGTATCACAGTGGGAACTTGTGACGAGTGGGGTCCCACAGGGGTCGGTCCTAGGACCAGTGCTATTTCTGGTATATGTGAATGACATGATGGAAGGGATAGACTCAGAGGTGTCCCTGTTTGCAGATGATGTGAAGTTAATGAGGAGAATTAAATCAGATGAGGACCAGGCAGGACTTCAAAGAGACCTGGACAGGCTGGACACGTGGTCCAGCAACTGGCTTCTTGAATTCAACCCTGGCAAGTGCAAAGTCATGAAGATCAGAGAAGGGCAAAGAAGACCGCAGACAGAGTATAGACTAGGTGGCCAAGGACTGCAAACCTCGCTCAAGGAGAAAGATCTTGGGGTGACCATAACACCGAGCATGTCTCCAGAGGCACACATCAACCAGATAACTACTGCAGCATACGGACGCCTGGCAAACCTGAGAATAGCGTTCTGATACCTAAGTAAGGAATCGTTCAAGACACTGTACACTGTGTACATCAGGCCCATACTGGAGTATGCAGCTCCAGTTTGGAACCCACACCTGGGCAAACACGTCAAGAAATTAGAGAAAGTGCAAAGGTTTGCAACAAGGCTAGTTCCGGAGCTCAGGGGGATGTCCTACGAAGAAAGGTTGAGGGAAATCAGACTGACGACATTGGAAGACAGGGGAGACATGATAACGACATACAAGAT